GAAATGAAATGGAATGCATAAAGATTGATATCCTAGGCATTTGTGAGCTGAAATGGACTGGTTTTGGCTATTTTGAATCAGACAACCATATACTCTACTATGCCTGGAATAACAATCTGAAGAGGAATGGTGTGGCATTCATCATCACAAAGAATGTTTCAAGATCTATCCTGAAGTACAGTGCTGTTAGTGACAGGATAATATCCATATGCCTACGAGGAAGACCGTTAATATTACTATTATTCAAATTTACGCACCAATCACCAAAGCCAAAGATGAGGAAATTGAAGATTTTTACCAACTTCTAGGGTCTGAAATCAACCAAACATGCAATCAAGATGTGTTAATTATCACTGGTGATTGGCATGTAAAAGTTGGAAACGAAGAATCACCGGTAGTTGGAAAATATAGTCTTGGTGATAGAAATGACACTGGAGATTGCATGATAGAATTTTGCAAGACCAACAATTTATTCATTGCAAATACCTTTTTTCAACAACACAAACGGAGTCTATATACATGGACTTCACCAGGTGGAGTACACAGGAATCAGATTGACTACATCTGTGGCAAGAGGCAATGGAGAAGCTCAATATCTTCAGCCTTTCATATGTTGTTGTTGTTATGTGCCATCGAGTCGGACCCGACCCATAGCGTCCCCTCCTTGGGTTGCCGAGGCAGTATCACTACAGAAGTAGATTGCCCCATCTTCCTTCCGAGGAGTGGCTGGTTGGTTTGAACCATCAGCCTTCTGGTTAGCAGTCAAGTGCCTTAAGCACAACTTAATAAATGTAGAATAAATGGGAAGGAAAGAAGTAGAGATAAGTTAGTTCTGTAAGTTATAAATCTAAACTGACATTTCTAAAGCAATATTTGGGGTAATTGTTCTCACAAGTAGGCATGTGCTGTGTGACCCTAAACCAGTTGCCATCAAGCCAACTCAGTTCATGGTGACCTCATGTGTGTCAGAGTAGAACTGTGCTCCATAGGGTTTTCAATGGCTGATTTTTCAGAAGTAGATCACCATGCTTTTCTTCTCTCAGCAGGTGCCTCTGAGTGGACTCAAACCTCCCCCATCTTGATTAGCAGCTGAGTGCATTAACCATTTATTCCACCCAAGGACTCCATGAGAACCCTAGAGCAGGTTATTTTTAATCAAGACTAGCCATCCAAGATGTGAGATCTCTATGGCTAGAGGAACCCAAAGAAAGGAGGGAAAACTTACAGAGATTAGCTGGTCAGGCCAAGCTAGGGCTTACCGCCTCCCCCCCCCCCCTTTTTTTAACTTTTATTGTGATTTGGGTGAAAGTTGACAGAACAAATTCATTTTCCATACAGCAGTTCATACATAATTTGTTTCATGACATTGACTCCAATTCCTCACAATGTAACAGCTCTCTTCCCACTTCCTGTGATTAACTCTGCCTTGTGTCTTTCCTTCCATGCACTCCTGCCTTTCCTGAGCTATCTCCCTGTGAAAACACTGCCTTCTGTTCTCCCACGGCCAGTTGCTCCAAGGAGTAAATGTTCACCCCATATGCTTTCTGTTGTTTAGCTGGAAGCCACAGGAGTGAGTTCAGGTCCAGACCTGAAGGGTAGCTAGGGGCCATAGTCTCAGGGGTCTCACCAGGCTCTATCAGACCAGGAAACATGGCCATTTTTTATGATTTTGAGTTTTGTTCCACGTTGGTCTCCCACTCTATCCAGGATCTCCTGTACTGAAGCCCCTCCAAGTGCTTAACAGTGGTAGCCAGGTACCATCTAGTTCTGGTTTTGTGGTTATATAGGCTGAGGATTACATGGTCTACTAGTCCTTTAGACTAATTGTTTCCATGCATCTTTGGTTTTCTTCATTCTTTGCTCTGGACGAGGAGAGACCCATTGTTGCATCTAGATGGCCACTTGCAAGCTTTAGATGGTCACAGTTGCTACTCACCAAAGTAGAATGTAGAACAGTGTTTTTGTCACACCCTCTTTAGAGTAACACTTGTTGTTGTTGTGTGCCGTCGAGTCAAATCCGACTCATAGCAACCCCTCCTTGGGTTTCCAAGGCAGTATCACTACGGAAGTAGGATTGCCCAACCTTCCTTCCGAGGAGTGGCTGGTGGGTTTGAACCGCCAGCCGTCTGGTTAGCAGGCAAGTGTCTTAGCCACTATGCTACCAGAGCTCCCAGAGTAACACTATAAGGATCTAATTTCTGAGCCCTGGCTTGGGTGGAGGGAGTACACTGATACTAGATGAGCAACTAACTATTGTGTTCAGATACCTTAATTTCGACTTATTTCATAAAACATCTCAATTTTTCCTTACAACTGCCTTATGGGGTGTGTTTTGGGAATGAAGAAAGACAAATAACCCACCTGCGGTGCAGTGAATTACTTAATATCACCCTTCTAGCCATGATCTTTGTAATTCCCACCAAACGACTGGGTAGAACTATGCAAATGTGAGGTGCTTGAAGCCCACCAAGGGAATTGGGCAGCCTGCTAATAATGGAAATAAGGTGCATGGTACTCGTGTGTGTGTGTGTGTGTGTGTGTGTGTGTGTAGGGGAGACCAGGCAAATAAGGTATATGGAACCCTAATGTGGCGGTTGGTCAATTTTGCCATCCTGCCAGACTTAAAATGAGCCATCACAGAGGCAGAAGGTGGGGAGGAGTTCTCACTATCATCAAGAAAGAAGAGCCAGGCATGGAACGTACATTCTTTGGACCAGAGAACCTCCTTGACTGAACTTCTTTGATTCAGAACACAGAGCTGTAACACTTTGCTGAGCTAGCAAGAGATGGTAAGAAGCAGCAGCAGAGAAATATCTGCCCACAGCGGGCAACAGAACCAGGAGATCCTGTAAGAGATAGTGCAGTGGGCTTCCTGGCCCATGGAGCAAGAAAGCTGAGTGCCTCATGTAGAAGACTTGCTGATGGAGTGGAGTGCCTCTGGGCGCTTGTAACTGGAGCTAAAGGGCTTTAACATTTTCCCAGGCAGGGTAGAGGCCAGACTGAAGGTCTGAGGGCCAGAAAGGCCTGCCTGTGGGCACTGCGGAGAATAAATTGTCCTGACTGAAGAACTGTATTCTGAGTCATTTCCGATCCTGAATTATAACCTGTTACTTCCCTAATAAATCCCATGATCATGAGTATTGTCTGTGAGTTCTGTGTGACTATAGTAATGAATAATAACAACCAATAGAGTAGAGAGTACCATGGGAGGGACAGTTGGTGTCAGAACTGGTAAAAGGATTGGAGAGTGGAGGTATGTCTGACCTCCACTTCAAAGGAATCAGCCTTAGGCTGACGCTGCTGCTGGTGATTCTTTTTCACTCTCTAAATTAAAGGAGGGAGCTCTGGTAGCGTAGTGGCTAAGGCACTTGACTGCTAACTAGAAGGCCTGCGGTTCAAACCCACTAGCCACTCCTCGGAAGGAAGGCTGGGCAATCTTACTTCCTCGGAAACCCAAGGAGGGGTCACTATGAGTCAGGGCTGACTCCAGGGCACATAACAACAACAAATTAAAGGAAGTCAGAACCTTCCCCACACCATTTTTACACCACCCAAAGTCATATAGTTGACACACAAACTAAGCATTCTGCCTTTCTGATGGTTCCAAAGTCCAAGCCTTTTCCAGTTCTACAGAGGAAAGATAAGAAAAGCCAGCCTTGGAGACAAAGGCTTGGTGGGGCAGCCAATGAAAACTGAGTTGTGGGTTGACGAGTCTGTTTAGGGGTCCGGGGTGCCTTCTGGTATCTATTATGACATAGGAGTAGGCCAGAGTAGGGGCCAGCTGAGCTCTAGGGTCCAAGCTCCCCAAAGTCTTCATCACTGCATCTCCAACAAGGGCGCTCTGACGCGCACCAGATGACGTCAGTCTCTGAAGTGACAGCTAACCCTGGTTGCCGGAGAGGGTGGAGTCGATCCTGCTACATACAGCCCAAGCTTCTGGGGCAACCCCAAAGCCCGCCCCGCAGCGACCTGTGGGCACCCGGGCAGCCAGCGGAACCCACAAAACGGTGCGCGGAAGAAAGCCGGCCACGGACTACAGCTCCCACAATGCCCTGGGCCGCCGGGGAAGGAGGGCGCCTGCAGGTGTCCAAAGCCTGGGCGCCTCTGCCCGGAAGTGCCCGCGGGTCCGACATGGAGCTGTCGGGGCCCGGCGGTGAGTACCGCGAGGGCCCGCGCCTGCCCGTCACCCCGACTCTCAGCTGGCATCAGGCCCGCCCCTAACGGGATCGCTGTGTCCTCCGCGGCTTGGGGGCGGGAAGATGGGAGGTTGATGGAGGGGTCGGGAGTGGGAGGGTGAAGTATCGCATTCCTGGGGCATCGTCGTAAGGTCTGGCAGAGGGGTGGGTTTAGAGAGGCTTCCAGAGGAGGCACGGAGTGGGCCCACCGTGGGTTGGACGGGGAGGGGGCCAAATGGGGTGGAGGGTAGCGAACCACAGAGGCTTCAGCTTGCCAAAGGGCGGAGTTTGACGTTTGCCGTGGAGTCTTAGAAAGCAGTATCGTGCCGTGAGTGGGATTTGGGTAAATGGCAATGGGGAGCTCATAGAGGCATTTTTTTCTCCCTTGGAGAAACTTTAGCGACGGAGGAATAAGCAAGCTTTGGGGTGAATTAGAGGGAGCAGTAGATAAGCTGTGAGGTGAAATTTGGTGGGAGTTGAGTTTAGGAGAGGAGTTACTTAGAATAGGGCCCTTACCTTGGGATGGCGTTTGAGTGAATTAGGGAGGTAGTTAAAGATCTAGAACTTAGGTTACCCAGAGTTCGGATTGCGGATTTGGTGATGGGCAGGGGCACCTTGGAGAGAGTTTGGGGTAAATAGGAGTCCGAGCAATCTGTGCCCTGGGGTGGGGTTTGGGTACAGGGGGCCAAGAAATTAGGGCTATGGGAGAGTTGAGGATGGGTCAGGAAACTGTTGAAGTTCAAAGGACTCTTGGCCAGAGAGCCAGCCCCTCATGGATTCTTTGTGCCTCTTCAGCTCAGTAGCGCAGCGGGCAAGGTGGGTGCCATGGCCCTGATTGAAGGGGTGGGTGATGAGGTGACCATCCTTTTTGCGGTGCTTGCCTGCCTTCTGGTGCTGGCCCTCGCCTGGGTCTCAACGCACACCGCCGAGAGGGCCGACCCACTGCCCCAGCCGTCAGGGACCCCAACTTCAGCACAGCCCAGCAAAGCCATGGCAGCCATCAATAGCATCAGGGGGGCGGCCCCTGGAGCCGAGGCCCCCACCCTAAGACACAGAAGTCAAGCTGCACAGCCAGAGCCTGGTATGGGGCTCCCAGCAACACCACATCCACCAGACTCCCCACAGGAGCCCCTCTTGCTTCGGCTGAAATTCCTGAATGATTCAGAGCAAGTGGCCAGGGCCTGGCCCCAGGACACCATCGGCTCCTTGAAAAGGTAAGCTGGGCCATAGTTGAATGAAGATCAAAGGAAAACACAAAGAAATGGGGTTGGCGTCATCCTGGACTTGAGAGAGCCACCAGAGACTTCCCCCTTATATGTAAGATGAGGGAACTGAGGTCTCTATTACACACTAGTCCAGTCCTTGTCCCCTGATAGCAGACTACCCCAGTGAGGCCAAGACCTGAGTGGTGGAGTGGAGGGCAGAAGGAAGGGCGGGTGTTCTTCTGGGGTGGGAACTGGGATTGGCTGATGCCTGCTCTCTTACTCAGGGCCCTCTCTCCTCAGGACCCAATTTCCTGGCCGGGAACAGCAGGTGCGCCTCATCTACCAAGGGCAACTTCTAGGAGATGATTCCCAAACCCTGGGCAGCCTTCACCTCCCTCCCAACTGTGTTCTCCATTGCCACGTGTCCACACGGGTCGGTCCTCCAAATCCTCCTTGCCCACCAGGATCAGAAACAGGCCCTTCTGGGCTGGAAATAGGCAGCTTACTGCTGCCCCTGCTACTTCTGATGCTCCTACTACTCTGGTACTGCCAGATACAGTATCGGCCCTTCTTTCCCCTAACTGCCACACTAGGCCTAGCTGGCTTCACCTTGCTCCTCAGTCTCCTGGCCTTTGCCATGTACCGCCCGTAGTGCCTCCACCGGCGCTTGGCAGTGCTGCCAATCCCTCCGGACTTCGCTCCCCACGACACAGTGGGAGCTGCTGTCCGCCCAGGCCTGCCTCTCTGGCCTGCTTCTTCCTGCTGTCCTGGAGCCCAGACCTGCACCACAGAGGACTCCAGGGCCTGGCAGAGCCCCTTCCCTACGACTTTAATGGAGCTGAGCCCACTCCTGGAGCAGCTGGCCCTCAGCCCCCACTGGCATGGGTTGCTCATGGTCAGGCAGATGCTGCCGGTGCCTAGACCCTGGGCAGAGACGGACAACCCCACTGAGCCCGTCTCGGTGCTCTGCCTGAGTATTTAGCCACCTCTAGTCACTAATATTCCTTGGGCTGACCTGGGGACCTAGCAGAGAGGAAGCAGGGGCGGAAGATTGTTCTCTGGAACACGTGCAGATTAAAAAGCTTAAGTTTTCACTCTTGCTGTGTCTGGGTGTGTGGGGGCCATGGCAGTGGGGCTGGGAGCCCTTGCTCATTGAGAAAAAAGCGAGTGGAGAGCATGGAGGGGCCCTGCTTCAGTTCCATTTCTTTCAAGCCAGCAGTCAACTTATTTGCTACCCTTCTCCGCACCATCTGCCCCTGGCGTCTCAGCACGCCCCGTCGCCTTTCGCACAGCTTCCGGGAGGCGGGGCTTGAGGCTCCTGGGCGCGCAGGGCCAGACGGGAGCCACATCTCTGCGGTCAGAACCTAGCTAGGATTGGCGTTAGGGGCGGCCGTGCGGGGGCTGCTGGGAAGATGGCAGACTCAGCGGCTAGCCGATGAGGAGGCCGCGGGGGGCCCCTGGCTCCCGGGCCCCAAGACCGACTGAGGAAGCGACCTACGCGGGGCCTGGGGAGCCATGTAGGGGTGGCGCCTGCCAGGGTGGGCCGCGGGAGCGGGGCGGAATTCGTATTTGCGGCGGTGACGGCGGTTTCCCGAGGCCGGGGTGGGTGTGGGGGCCCTGACATCGCCGACTCTGCGCCATTGCAAAGCTGGGCACTCGGGCTACACAGGCGCCCTGCCAGGTGGGCGCTGCATTCTCATTTCACAGGTAAGGGGACTTAGGCAGAGAGACGAAGCCACTTGTCCAAGGTCACACAGCTGGTAAGTGGGAGCGCCTAGCATGGAACCCAGGACAGTCGGACAGCAAATCCTGCGTTCCACCTCTGTGCTGCCGCCGCCTCCCGCGGGAGGGGTAGGTGGTCGGGAGGGCGTGTCAACGGGCCGACTGGGGCTCCAGACTGGGCGCGACCACCAAGCCCATTTATGATCTCGAGTGTAACCCCTTTGTCTCTCCGGGCTGTGGTCTCCATCTGTGAAATTGACGGGGTAGTGCTAGCCCTGCTTACCTCGTACGTTTGTAAGGAGGAGCAGAGGAGATGACGCATGTGAAAGTACTTTGTAAATGGCACTGCTTTGAGAACAGTACTCTGGGTCGAAGAAGTAAGAGGAATGGGGGGTGGGGAAGACTGAGCACAGCCAACACAAAAGGGTGACCACGGATGGGGAGTGAAGTAAGCAGTAAACAGCAGGGCTTTCTCCCCTTTGGAGAAAACCTCACCCTCCTTTTCTGGGCCACCCCTCAGGGTCTCCATCACCCAACTCAATGCTTCGAGTCCTGCTTTCTGCCCAGGCCTCCTCTGCTCGGCTGTCTGGTCTGCTGTTGATCCCACCAGTACAGTCCTGCTGTCTGGGGCCTGGCAAGTGGGGGGACTGGCCCTCGGGAGGCAGCCCCCACGCGGGTCCTGTGCAGGGGCTGCAGCGACTTCTGGAACAGGCGAGGAGCCCTGGGGAGCTACTGCGCTGGCTGGGCCAGAATCCCACCAAGGTGCGGGCCCACCACTACCCTGTGGCACTTCGTCGCCTGGGCCAGCTCTTGGGGTCTCGGCCATGGCCCCCTCCTGTGGAGCAGGTCACACTGCAGGACTTGAGTCAGCTCATCATCCGAAACTGCCCCTCCTTTGACATTCACACCATCCATGTGTGTCTGCACCTTGCAGTTTTACTTGGTGAGGAGAGGCTTGAGGAGGATTTGGGGGAAAGGGGCAGTTGATGGAAAAGTAGAGAACAGTAGAGAACCTAAACTTAGACAAGAATTAACCTTTTAGGCATTTTGCCCATAAATGGCAGATAGTCTGGCACACTGGCTGCTGCTTCCCGTCCTCTATCCCCATGAACATCAGGAGTCAAACAGCATTTTTTCCAGCTTAAGGAGCACCACCCAGATTCCCATCAATGTAGTGCTCTAGGAGCTACTAAAAGTTGTCACAAATGGCTTGAGATGAGAACTTACATGCCCTTTTTGTATAACACTCTCCCCAAAGGCTGTTCTAATACTTTATGTTCCCATGGTATTTTATCTCATTCCAGTGTTTCCACTTAAACTGCAGCAAAACTTTCAGATTGGGAAGTGGAGAAAAGCTGGGAATCCATTAACTAAACCCCATGATTATAACAGAGCCAAGCATACTCTTATTCCTAGATGGCCTTCTCTGATCCTCTCCCTCAGGATTTCCATCAGATGGGCCCCTGGTATGTGCCCTGGAGCAGGAGCGAAGGTTCCGCCTCCCCCGGAAGCCAGCTCCCCCTCTGCAACCTGTCCTTCCTGGTGGGCAGAGGTTGGAAGCTGCTCTGAGCTGCCCGCATTTCCTGCGGCATCCCCGGCAGCAGCTGATCCGCAGCCTGGCAGGTGCCGGAGGGGAGAGTTTAAGGCAGGTGGGATGGCGAGGTGGGAGGTGGCCTAAGAGTCTAGTATAATAGGCTAATTCTTCACAGAGGCAAGGCCAGAGGAACTAACTCCTCACGTAATGGTGCTCCTGGCCCAGCACCTTGCCCGGCACCGGCTGCGGGAGCCCCAGCTTCTGGAAGCCATTGCTCACTTCCTGGTGGTTCAGGAAGCCCAGCTCAACAGTAAGGTGGGATTGCCTCCCACCCTTTCCTGCTCCTCTCTGACTGTTGTTATCCTCAGCCATTGTCAGGCCAGCCCTGCCCACCTGTCTAGCTTTATTGCCCTTTTTTCCTAAGCAGCTAACTTACCCCCACTAGGCTGCTTGCTCAGTGCTCTGGGGCTTCTACCTTTGCTGACATCCTCCTTGGCCTGTCCCCCCCATAAGCACCAGGAGTGCTCAGTGCTTTGCAGTTTTTCAGAGCACTCTTAACACCATCTTAGTTTCATTGGTCCCACTCAGTCCTTCAGGGTGAGACCCCACAACAATTTGTCCTTCTGCCTGTTTGGTAATTATATAGGACTTGAGACATGTTTATACTGTTTTAAGTTCTGGTGTGTATGTTAGGGAACAGAGGGATAGGTTCTGCCTTCACAGCTACATTATAAGTTTGAGGGCCAAGGCACCCTAAATTTCAGTTTACAAAGGATAACGGGTAACTTTTGCAGCTGTGTAATAAGCTGCTTTTCCTCAACAGGTGGTACAGAAGTTGGTCCTGCCCTTTGGGCGGCTGAACTACTTGCCTCTAGAACAACAGTTTATGCCCTGTCTTGAGAGGATCCTGGCTCGGGAAGCAGGGGTGGCACCCCTGGCCACTGTCAACATCTTGATGTCATTGTGCCAGCTGCGGTGCCTGCCCTTTAGAGCCCTGCACTTTGTCTTCTCACCAGGTTTCATCAACCACATCAGTGGTATGCAGACAGGGTGGCTGACTGGCCCAAGGCTGTGGTGGGAAGAGCAAATGGGAAGGAGGGTCTGCAGCCCAGTGTGCCCAGCCCCTGCTTTCCCCTAGGCACTCCTCATGCTCTGATTGTGCGTCGCTACCTCTCCCTGCTTGACACAGCTGTTGAGCTGGAGCTCCCAGGATACCAGGGTCCCCGCCTTCCCCGGAGGCAGCAAGTGCCCATCTTCCCCCAGCCACTCACCACTGACCGTGCCCGCTGCAAGTACAGGTGGATGGGGCAGCTGGGAACAAGGGAAGGGAACCAGCCCTAAAGCCAAGAGCAGAAAAACCAAAGGGACCATGAAATGTTCTAGCTGCCTTAGAAAAGGCAGTCATACAAAAAGACAGATGGGCCTGAATCAGTGAAGGCATTTGCCGAGAATAGAGCTAGACCAAGACAGAGCTTGGGGAAGAACTCGGGGCCTTCCCCACTATCAGTGTCCCTTTCCCCTCAGTCACAAGGATATAGTAGCTGAGGGGCTACGCCAGCTGCTGGGGGAGGAGAAGTACCGCCAGGACCTGACCGTGCCTCCAGGTTACTGCACAGGTGAGCACAGGTGGGCAAGCAGCAGGCCTGGGGAGCAGACAGGACCCTGGCTAAAGGTTGGTGGCCCCTATCACCCTTTGCAGACTTCCTGCTGTGTGTCAGCAGTAATGGTGCTGTGCTTCCTGTGAGGACTCAGGATCCCTTCTTACCATACCCACCAAGGTCCTGTCCTCAAGGCCAGGCTGCCTTGAACCCCACTACCCGAGACCCTACCCAAAGGTAAGGAAAGTGGGGTGGGAGGGCCTCCTGCTCTCACAGACTTGCTGACCCTGACCTTGGCCCGCTTCCCCTCCAGGGTGGTTCTGATGCTGCGGGAACGCTGGCATTTCTGCCGGGATGGCAGGGTGCTGCTGGGCTCACGGGCTCTGAGAGAGCGGCACCTTGGCCTAATGGGCTACCAGCTCCTGCCGGTGAGAGACACCCCTGGTCTGCCCTTTATAACTCCTAGCTCCTCATACTTCTGGTAACCCTGCCTCTCTCCACAGCTGCCTTTTGAGGAACTGGAATCACAGAGAGGCCTGCCCCAGCTGAAGAGCTACCTGAGGCAAAAGCTCCAGGCCTTGGGCCTCCGCTGGGGGCCTGAAGGGGGATGAAGGGAAGTAGTGGGTTAGGATGGCCCCCCCATGGGGGGCAGGCAATTTGCACTTTGGCTTCCCTCTGTTTTGGTTCTCATTAAAGTCCTTTTCCTTCACTATCCCCATCACTCGTCTGGTTTCTGGGGCAGGGAGGGGCCTGGGTTCCCTACCTCTTTTCCATTTATGTCCCCCCTCATACAGAGACAAAAAGCAAGGGATAGACAGGGGCTAAAGCACTTTACTGCAGGAGTGAGGACTTTAAATTATTCACTTAAATAAAAATGAGGAAGAAGGAGGTGGCAAGACCATAACCCCAACCCCTGGTCCCTCTGTCCATCAGTCCCTCAGGCTGGTCCCTCCAGCCAGCAGCTACACAGGCATAGGCATCTCGTTGTACTCATCCACACCCTCCCGCTCATCAAACACTGGCTCCGCCTCATTTGCATCCAGCTGTGGAAGGGGATGGTGGGTTTTAGGTTGGAACCATTTCCGAGAACAAGGGGGAAGGGATGGGTGGGTGGGAGCAAATAAGGGAAGATGTTCTTACACATTTCATCTCTCGCTCGGTGAAAATGCGGGTGAGCACCACCATGCGGAGCGGCACTGTAAGGATGAGGATGAAGGGAAAGGCCAGGGAGGCAGCTGTGGACATGACAGCCCAGAGCAGGGCCAGGCAGAGCAACTGCAGGGCTGTGAACAGGTGCATACGGAAGGTCCGAACCTGGGGGCAGGAGGGTGAAATGGAGACTGATGACTTCAGGCCTCTCCAAGAGCCTCCAGCCACAGTCCCTGGAGCTGACATTCAGGGCCCAGATGACTCAGATGGAAGTAGGAAAGGAGGCACCTTCTTGGGTGTTCATCATAGCCCAGGCTGCACAGCATGGACAGTAAATGATGGCTGGCTGACATGGGGAGATGGGGCTGGCAGGTGACCCTGGTAGACCAGGATGGGTAGAGGCCTGGGGGTCCTTTTGGAAGGGGTCTCACCTTCTTGACATAGGTGACATCTGGGTGGTGTTTGGGCGGCATGAGCAGAAGGTGCAGCCGCTCATAGAACTGAATCCCATTAAGGGAGGTAACACCCATATACAAGAAAATTCCAAAGAGCACAGCCAGTGGTATCTGCCGAAGCAGATCTCCAATAACCAGGGAGAGACCTGAGGAAGGAAACAGAAGTTGGCCTAGGGCTCCCCCCCTCACCAGGGCTCCACTAGGAAGGGTGGGCAAGGGGCAAACATACCCACAAGCAGGGCAACTAGCAGCCCCGTTACCCGCTGCTCCTTGACCTCCTGAATCTTGGGCTTATCCCCAGGAGCCACAGCCTTGCTCATGACAGTGAGTGCGTTGGCATGTGTGACGGAACGGACAGTGGCAGCAGCCAACCAGGGTAGGCCAAAGAGAGCACAGATGCCACCCATGGCTACAATGAGCAGCAGGTCCAGATGGAAGCCGGAGCCCTTCTGTAGCATGCGTTCCTTTTTGGAGATGATCAGCCTGGGGAGCAAGAGGGCTCCTGCTCCTGCACCATGGTCAGCCAGGCACCTGGCTTAGCTGACCACCTTGTCTTTCTAGCACTCCAGCCAATCACCTCCTGCCTGTGTGGTCCCTGTACATGCCCACTGCCCTGGGCCAGTTTAATTCTCCACTCAGACCACACAGCCCCACCAGGCACTGCTAGGCCGGCCTCTCAGTCTCTACTCCATCCCCTCACAGCACCTTAATGCTTACTCATGCTGGGGCACTTTATACACTGCCTACAAAATCAACTCCAGCAGCCAGCCAGCACTTAAAACCCTCTGAGGCCTACGGACTCTGCAGCTTAAATTTGTAAGCAGGGTCTCCCAGGCTGGGAACCACAGCAGTCTAGGGCCTCTCTCCCCTTGAATACACTCAGTCATTCCTGTCCTGTGTGTGCAGCCCCCCTTACCCCTCCAGTCAGGCCACTCACGTGGTGATCTGAGTCTCCATGAAGATAAGGATGAAGACGAGAATGGCAGGCAGCAGGCTTGCAACCATCATCCACACAGGGAAGGGGCTTGTCTCTCCCAGGGGATTGATGACCCAGCCCCGTTTTTCAGGAGCTGTCACCGAGAACCCACTGGGTACACTCAGCTTCTGCAGGACAGAGGACAGGATAGGGGAGTGCCACGGTTAGTGCTGAGGACGTGCTGTGGGAAAATTTAGTATCCACTTAGCTTCATAAGAGGCTCTAGACTTGCAGGGGAACAGTGGAAGTAACCCAGGCAGTACCTCTTTTTGGCTATGTGGTTATGCCTTACCTGCGTGTAGGTGTCCTCAATACTGTAATCCACAAGCACCATGATGAGGATTGCAATGGGGACCCCAAAGTCCCCGATGACCCGTCGGATCTGAGGGCAAGAATTGTGCTCAGAGTCTTCCTGTTCCACTGCAGCCCATCCCTTCCTTAGCTCACCTCTTCCTACCCTCATTCCTACTCCTAGCCTTCAAAGACACACACCCGGCCAGGGAAGAACCGGCTATTCTTGAATTTGCGCAGGAAGAAGGCAATGAAGAAGGTGCCAGCCATGAGCACCAGCGACAGGAGGGCTGTGTTGGGCTGGCCCCGAGGCCTCCCCTGCCCAGACGAGCTCCAGTTTCCCAGTCCCATCACTGCTTCTGCCCCAGACCATGTCTTATTCTTGCCACTGTTGGTCTCTGGGCTGTTGGAGACTAAGCAGCCATGGAGTGGATGCTCCTGAAAGATCTAAGGAGAGGAGGGCCACAAAAGACTCCATCAGTGAACCAGGAATGGGGGCAGAGCACAGCAAGGGTAGGCAGGCCACAAAACCAGATGTGACACAGGGCAATGTGGGCTTAAGAGGGCCAAGGGAGGGAAGGGACTAGAGGAGGTTAGCCTCTTCATGAAGGCAGCAGGGCAGTGGACTGAAGAAAGGAGGAGGGTACTTGGCATGGGGGACCTGGAGGTACCAGGTCTCATAAACCCATCAGATAAATAGGGGTCTGATGCACTCAACTGTGACTGGGTGCCACCTCAGGCCTTTTCCTTTGGGTTCTTCTGTACTATTTGGCGTTTAACACAAGGATGTGTTACCCATGTAATTAAAACAGTTTTTAAAAGCTTGACCTGAAGCTTCAGCATGAATGCTGGAGACAGGGAAGTGGTGGCAGACAAGAGGGCTCCACAAGACTGCAGCCCCAGGGGAAGCTCTGTGTCAGCCTGGCCTCAAATCCAAAGCAAGGACCAAGAGAAGGAACAGGACTTCACCTGGCTCCCTCTTGTCCTGACCCCAACCCGTTCTTGGCAGGCTTGCCTACCTTAACCAGTTTGTAGAAAGTCTCATAGATGAATATGAGAGAGATGAGGAAGGCAAAGATCTCCTGGGTGAAACGGGAGACAAAGCGCACCAGGAAGCTGCCCTCCAGGGCCACCATGAGCAGGGCCAGAAGCACCAGCCAGAAGCCAATCCATACACGACCCACCAGGTACTCCAGGTTGTTGCTGCTACAGAACTGGGGTGTAGGGGGACCAGTTAGGCCGAGAGATATGGGGTGAGAAGGGGCTGAGAGGGTCCAGTCAGGCCCAGAGTTATGGGGTAGGCAGATGAGACAACTGGGGTCCACAGTATAAGATGAGGGAATGAGATAATTGGGGCAGGGGGGTTCAGTCAGACCAAGAGCTATGGGACTAAGGGAGAATACCTAGGGTGCAGGGACTAGGGAAAAGGAGGGCCAGCCCCAGAGCAGCCTCTGGACACCCTGCTGGACCTTTACCGAAAAAAAGGCCTCCTCAAAGACCAGCAGTGGCCCTGAGAAGCCGATCACCAGCAGTGGCTGAGCCCCTAGCAGGCAGAAGATCACCCCCTGGAGTGCTGTGGACATGATCAGCTCCGAAACCCCAATCAGATCTTGTGTCTTCTCTCCTGAGGGCAGAACCAGCCCAGGGTCTGTCAGTCTAAGCTCTGTATGGCCCACCCTCCCATCCACTCAAAGGCTCTCCCTACCAAGTAGTCCACCAAAGGTGATGGCAGGAGACAGGGCAGCAAAGTAGATGAAAATGACAGCAGCCAGACACTGGGGGTTGAGTGCATCTTGGAAGTCACTCAGGTAGTGGGGGTAGCGGCGTCGCACATCACGGATCAGGCCCCCAAAGGGCCGGCCTGTCCGCCGAAGGGGATCATCTTCAGCTACGCCTGCTGCTTCTACCATCTGCAGAAGCGCTGCAACCCAGGCCTCTATTAGGGCCCCAGGAGAGTCTTCTCCCTGCCCCCCAGAGGCACAGCCACCCTCCCCTCCCCCATGGCAGCTCAGTTGGTTCTAGGTCCTGTTCTAGCCCGTACCCTTGTCTTGGGCAGACTTGGGTTCCAGCCCAGCCGCAGTGGGCAACAACCGCCCCTGCTCCTCCCGCTTCTTGAGCATCTGGCGCTGGAAGTGAGCTACAGAGCGTAGCAACTCCTCGCCCTGCACCTCCGAGGGCGGCAGCACCACACTGCAGTCCAGAAAGGAGTTGATGGCTGTCAGCAGGTCCTCCCGCTCATCTGCCAGGTAGGCTGCCTCGTGGAATTGCTGACAAAGCAGGGCCATGGTCAGTGGGACACAAGGAGGAGGACAAGGTTGGGGGGAGGTGGTGCCAGGGAGGAAGGTGAGCAGACCTTGTCGGACATGAGGGTGGAGATTGAGCGGCCTATCTCGTGGTAGTCCATGTTGGCACTGCTTGGGCCCAGCAGCAGAAAAAGGAAGCGCACGGGTACAGGCACCTCGAGAACTGCGTCCAGTTCTACTGCCTCCCGCAGCCGCACAAAGGCCATGGTGGGGCGGGACAGGAACTCCACACACCCTAGAAAGGTGGGCGTCATGGGCAAGAGCAAGGCAGCAGGAACAAGGCAGGCTGACGACTCCATGAAGACTGTGCCTGAAGGTTTGGCAGCCAAACCACCCCTGCCCCTAAGACTTGCCCCACATACCCACAAGTACCACCGTTGCTTCTGCATTCTCAGGGATCTTCTCTAGCAGCTTCAGCTCATGCTTGGACTTTGAGCGAGTGATGCCAGCAGGTGGGGCTGGAGGGGGCAACTCTCGCTGGGGGAAGAGGAGAGCAGAGCTCAGTCCAGCCAGGCCCTGTCCTTCTGTGCATCTCTGAGGCCACCTCATAGCCCTGCAGCTAGTCTATGGCAACCAAGACCAGGTAAGGCAGAGGTGTGTCTTTCCCTTACCTCTCGCTCCACCTCCAGGCGGGTCTCAGGAACACCTCCAATGAGAGGCTCTGTGACATGGGGGTCACTTTCCACCCCGTGGCCATGGTGATGACCCAGAAGGGAGCCCAGGGAGCCAGCTGAGATGTTGCGGGGGAAAGAGAAGTCCTTCTCATCACTTGGGTGGCTGGTAGGGCAGAGGGCAGTGAAGTTAAGAAGGGCAAAGAGCTGGGGGCTGGTGAGAGGGTTAGGGGGAAAATATAAAGGATGCTCCTGGGCAGGGCTTCACCTGTGTTTCAGCAGCAGGGCTCGCAGCACATTGGCTCTATCCTCAGCCTTGATCTGGTCAGAAATGACCATCTGTTCTACCACCTGGTGGGCTATGCCAGGCAGTGTCTGCTGGTCCAGGTCTAAGAGCACAGCTCCTGAAATAAGGACAGCATAGAGGGACCATGATCCCCAGATCCAGAAACAAGAGTAGGGCAGGGAATAGCCAGGTAAGCGCAGTCCAGCAGGTTCTGATCCTGTTCTGCTGCCAAAGCCCAAGTTGCATTTCCTCTCTGGCCTCAGTTTCTCTCCCTATGCCCATCCACCCCTAAGAAATATTATAAGCTCAGTTATCAGAGAGGTCATAAGGCCAACCTCCTCTAGAGAGCCTACCTTGGCTGAACTGCTATTCACTGTTAAAACTCTTCTTCTTAATCAGCCACATAATGCCTCTGTCAAACATCTACTCTAGAATCTAGTTCTGTCCTCTGGAACAAGGCACAGTCTGCGGCTGTGGTAGTTATGTTTGTGTGTCAACTTGGCTGGGCCTGGTTGAATGGCTGGGCAGCTGGTGGTAGTTATTCCCCATGATGAGACAGGCAGTCAGCTTCATAGTGGGATCTACCACAAGCAGCTTTGGGTATGTGGTCTGCTTCCTGTATACAAAGAGAAGCCTTGGGAATTGTCTCTAACTTATGGCACGTTTGGATGCTGCATGTAACTGTGTCGTTGTTCAGCAGCCTGTCATGCTCTGGCAACCTTGGGACTTACAATGGACTTAAATTAATGGTCTGCCATGTGGTGTGGTAACATCAGGACTGTGCCATTTTATTTGTCAACCTTGGGCTTCTCAGCCTCAGCAGCCAGCAGCTCTCTGAGTGAAGAAATGCCTCTAGCTTCAGTGGGCCGGGAGCTGGAAGCAGAGCTGAAGCTCAAGACTGAGGGGCTTTCACCTAGCCCCTAGAGCCTGGCACTTTGAACTTGGACTTAAAGCCTCCAAATTGTAAGGATGAACTCCTGTTGTTCAAGCCATCCCATTTGTAGTATATTCTTGTCAGAGCAGTACTAAGTAACCAGAACAGCAGCCTTGTCCATATGATGGCTGTTGAGCCATAGGAAGAGATACCCTCTCTACCCCAGGCTTCTCAACTACCCTCCTTCAGTTCCCCAAGCCCACTGGACAGTTCCCTAAGCTGCTCACTGGACAATTTCTAGACCTCTTTCCACCTTGGTCACTGATCTGGAACTGCCATATCATAGAGAAATGAAAGTCCCTTGAAAAGTTACGGGATAATGGCCATACATATTTGGGAGATGATATTTCTATATACGTATTTGTATGTGCTATGAGAATGTCCATATAAATAGAACTAATAGGGGCCAAAGTTATGGTAATTTTTTAGCCACAGCCAGCCACCATGAGGGAGCAAATTATTGGGCCTGTGGGCTCAGGATCATGATCAGGGGAAAATCAAGCTCAACTGGCATAACATATTAACACAAAAACATTGTTCTACATACTACTTTGGTGAATAGCTAGTGGGGTCTTAAAAGCTTGTAAGTGGCCATCTAGATGCAGCAATGGGTCCCTCCTTGTCTAGAGCAAAGAAGAATGAAGAAAACTAAAGACACATGGAAACAATCAGTCCAAGGGACTGGTGGACCACACAAATCTCAGCCTATATGACCCTGAGACCAGAAGAACTAGATGGTGCCCAGCTACCACTGTCAGCTACTCAGCAGGAGTACAGGAGATCCAGGATAGAGTGGGAGAAAAATGTAGAACAAAATTCAAAATCATAAAAAGGACCAGGCTTATTGGTCTGATGTTGTTGTATTGTTATGTGCCATCGAGTCAGACCCGATTCATAGTGACCCCTCCTTGGGTTTCCAAGGTGGTATCACTATGGAAGTAGATTGCCCAACCGTCCTTCCAAGGAGTGGCTGGTGGGTTTGAACTGCCAGCCTTCTGGTTAGCAGTCGAGTAACCCCTAAGACTATGGCCCCTAGCCACCCTTTCGGCTTGGAATTGAACTCACTCCCGTGGCTTCCAGCCAAACAACAGACAGACATATAAGGTGAACATTTACACAAGGTAGGTACACTGCTTAGAACAATAGATCATGGGAGACAAGAAGGGTAGCATTTGCACAGGGAGATAGCTCAGAGGGCAGGAATGCACAGGAAAGAAGGACACAGAGAAAAAGCATCCACAGGGAGGAAGTGGAAAGAAAGCTGTTGCATTATGGGGATTGCAATCAATGTCATGAGGCAAAATACATATGCCACTGTATGGAAAATCAATTTGCTCTATAAACTTTTACCCAAATCACAATTAAAAAATAAAAAGAAAAAAGAAAAATTAACAGAATAGCAAGTCTTCAAATTTCATAAAAGGCTCCAAATAGCCAAAAATCTTTAAAAAGAACAAAGTAGGAGGGCTCACATTTCCCAATTTTAAGATGTACTATAAAGCTGTAGTAATCAAAACAGACTGACACTGGTATACAGACAGACACAGAGATCAATGGAATAGAATTGAGAGTCCACAAATGAACCAACACATTTTCAACAAGGTAGTAAATCCATTCAATGGGGAAAGAAAAGTCTCTTCAATAAATGATGATGGGACAACTGGATAGCCAAATGCAAAAGAATTTAGTTGGAGTCATACCTCACACCATATATGAAAATTAACTCAAATCAAGGACATAAATGTTATAACTAAAACCAGAAAACATAGGGTTAATGCATTGGGGTCTGGTTTTCAACAGTAGATTCTTACATATGACACCTGCAAGATGTGGAATCATCTTGCAGAAAACAGGGCTTTAAACTGGTTCATTCTGGTTCAATCCCCTGCTAAGAATTTGCATTTCCACCTCGATATACTGAATTAGAATCTACATTTTAATAAGGTTCCCAGGTGATTTTTTTTTTTTTTTACTCTTTATTGTGATTTGGGTGAAATTTTATGAAGCAGATTTGTTTTACATTCAACAGTTCATACATATTTTCTTTTGTGACACTGGTTACATTCCCTGCAGTGTAACAGCTCTCCTCCTACTTCCTCCCTGTGGTTACCCATTCCCTGTGTCCTTCATGTCTATGCATTCCGTCTTGTGCAAACGCTGCTCTTCTGATCTCCCATGGTTGATTATTTTAAGGACTGCATTTCCCTGGTGTAGGTGTTCAGTTCATAGGTCTGTCAATAGTTTGGCTGAGCATTAAGCCATAGGAATGAGTTCAATTCCAAAGGATGACTCAAGGTCATAGTCTTGGGGGTTTCACCAATCTGTATCAGATTAGTAAGCCTGGTCATTTTTAGGATTTTGAGTTTTGTTTCACATTTTTCTCCCACTTGATCCAGGTCCCAGGTGATTCTTATGGGATCTTGTTAAAATATAGATTCTGATTCAGTATATCTGGTGGGAACGTAAATTCTCAGTAGGGGGTTGAACCAGAATGAATTGATTTAAAACCCTGACAGGAAGTTATTTGGCCTTTGTTTTTAGTTCCTTCTATATGTACCAACTCCTAAGGATAATGAATGGGGGCTGACCAAACCAAGAAGGACCCTCTGGGGGCCTGATACTGGCTAAGCTTCACAAGGCATGATGTAATCTATCATAACCATGTGGGGAAGCCAATAAGAGTGCTGAACATGGAAGCTCAGATGGAGCTTCCTGGTTGGTGATCATAGTACATCTCTCTTTGGAACACAGAATCTCTGTACTGTGGCCCCTCCCAAATATCACCCTGTCTCTTCATTTATATTCTTCTTTACATTAGAGCTATTATTGCAGTTAAGTATCTCCTGTGAGCTCTGTGAATCATTCCAGTGAATTACTGGACCCAAAGGACCAGCGGGAGGTGGCTGGTCTGAAGAGGAGGGAGTCATGTGGATTCCCAGGCTTGCAGCTATTATACTGAGGGGGTAGAAGAAACCTCCAAATTTGAGGCTGGCTGGTCTGAAGTTGAAGGAATCACATGGACTATCAAACATGTGGCTAATACCTGATGACGTAGCCCTGGGTGGCTAGGGATGAGAGAAAGAAGGCTTGTGTGGGGAGCTGGGGTCTGAACTTAACAGGGAAGAAAAGTTGAGATTTCTGTAAGACACATGGAATGTGGAGTGGGATTTGTTATCCACTACACAATTTGGTGTCAGAAGTAGGTGATCTTAGTTTCCCTCTACTGGTGTGTGCAACACCAAAAGCATGAGCAACAAAAAACAAAATAGGTAAAATGGACTTCATCAAAATTAAGAACTGTTGTGTATCAAAGGACTTAACCAAGAAAGTGAAGAGACAATCTATAGAATGGAAGAAAATATTTAGTAACCATATATGTGATAAAGGTTCAATATCTAGAATACAAAGAGCTTAAACAACAACAAAAAGATAAAAAACCCATTAAAAAAACAAGCAAGGGACTCGCATAGACATTTCTCCAAAAAAGATATACAAATGGCCAACAAGGACATGAAATGATACTCAACATTTTTAGCTAGTGTTGTTGTTTGTTGTTGTTGTTGTTGTTGTTGTTGTGTGCCACCGAGTCAGATCTGACTCATAGCGACCCCTCCTTTGGTTTCCAAGGTGGTATCACTACAGAAGTAGATTGCCCAACCTTCCTTCCGAGGAGTAGCTGGTGGGTTTGAACCACCAACCTCCTGGTTAGCAGTCAAGTACCTTAAGCACTATGCTACCAGAGCTGTTGTTGTTAGCTGCCATCAACTCAATTCTGACTCATGGCAACCTCCTGTGTGCAGAATAGAACTGTTCCTCTGGGTGGGTTCAAACTGTCAAACCTTGGCTAACAGAGAAATACTTAACTGTTTAGGAAACAAAACCACAATAAGGTAACACTTCACTCCCACTAGGATAGCTCTTACTAGAAAAAAAGAAAAATAACAAGTATTGGTGAGGATGTGGAGAAACTAGAACCCTCATTGACTGCTGGTAGGAATGTAAGATGGTGGCGCCATTGTGGAAAATAGTATGGCAGTTTCCCAGAGAATTACATATAGAATTAACATATCACCCAGCAATTCCACTCCTATGTATATACCCAAACAAATTTAAAGCAGGAACTCAGATATATGTATGCTAATGTTCATTGCAGCACTTTTCACAATAGTCAAAAGGTGGAAACAACCTAAGTGTCCATCAACAGATGAATAAAAAAAACAAAAAACAAATTCACTGCCCTCGAGTCGGATCTGACTCATAGCAACCCCTCCTTGGGTTTCTGAGGAGGTTGCCCAACCTTCCTTCCAAGGAGTGGCTGGTGGGTTTGACCCACCAGCCTTCTGGTTAGCAGTCAAATGCCTTAGGCACTATGTTTCCAGAGCTCCCAACAGATGAATAGATAAACAAAATGTGGTATAGACATACAATGGATTACTCAGCAATAAAGAAAAATGAAGTCTTGATACATGCTGTGACATGGATGAATTCTGAAACTATCATGCTGAGTGAAATCAGTCAGTCACAAATGGACAAATATTACATGATCCACTTATATGAAATGTCTTGAATAGAGACCATAGTTTATTAGTAGTTACCAGGGATGGGAGGGAGGAGAAAATGAGGAGTCATTGCTTAAGGGGTCCTGGGTTCCTGTTTGGGGTGATGACAAACTTTGAGAAATAGTGATGAATGTTGCACAGCACAGTATATGTGATTAATGTCACTGAATTGTGCACTTAAGAGTGGTTGACACAGTATTTTTTTTGTGTGTGAAATATATTTTATCACGATAAAAAAAAAGTTACCAGGCCATTTACTGGCAAGGACAACTTTCAGGAACATAGAACCAAAAAACACAGAAAACCAACAGCCCCAGAACAGACAGAAGAGAGATCACAAAGCCTAGTGATAAAGCTCTTAAACTTTGGCACTTTACCTCTAGACAATCCCTCAAGCCTCACTCAGAGCCTATTTACTTTTAGTTTGGATACAATTGTAGCAGGAGGTTCTCAGCCCTCATCTGCTAGAAATAGGCCATCTGACAACTACAGACAGTGAGTGAAAACCCAATGGGAAAGAAGAAACAAGCAAACAGGAGAAACATCATATGCAAGGGCTCAGAAGTCCTACATGCTGTAGGCATTTAGTAAAGTTTAAAAGCCCTACAGGTTAGATCACATTTTCCAGAGTCTCTCTTAAGATGATCATGAGATCTGCCAAGCATCTCAGAACACCATCAAAACTGTTTTAAAATGTTAGCACCCAAAACACATCAGCTTCTGCTATCTGAAAATATCCCTGAGAAGCTGCTTGCTGAAAGTGCTAGATAAGAGATATTTGTATAAATCCTGCTCTGAAATCACCCAACAATGACCCCTAGCCAGAAGGTGGAGTAGTACTTTATGGAAATAAGATGCTCTCTCCTGAGTGCTGGTAAAATTACATACCATGTTGTGCAATAAAAATTTTGGGGGTATTTGGCCATTTGGTCCTCTGAGAATGGGGCCTAGGACACAGTAACATTCTGGAATGAAGACTGGCAGGGGATGAGGAGGGCAATGCACAAGGCAGTTACCATGGGCCAGGGTCCGGCGGAGTTCCAGGAGACTTCGGAAGGACAGGGAGGCCACATGGGGCTTCCCCCAGCGCTCTGTCTCCTCTTCTACATCCTCCTCAAATTTGATCCAGCGAGCTGTCTCCCGCCACTGAGGCTCTTGGTTTTTGTCCAACAGCAATTCATTCAGCTCCACAAATACCTTAGGGTGAGATGAGAGGGCATCTCAGGATGTAGAGCTAGAGGTCTCTAGGGATTGGGCCCTCAGAGAGTAGCAAAAATGGGGTATTACCCTGTACGGCACAGTGGGTAGTGTACAGGCTTGGGAGTCTAATAGACCAAGAGATCTTGGGCAAGTCACTAGCCAATTAGAGACTTAGTTTTCCTCATCTGTAAAATGGAGCTAATAATACCTACCTCAAAGGGCTGTAGTGAGGATTAAAAGTATATAGAACATTTAGCATGATATACAACTCATAATGAGTGTGTGAAACTGGTCACTGTATTTATATAATTATGTTGCCATTGTTCTATATTGTTAAGTCAATTCCGATTCATAACGATCCCATATGACTATGAGTAGAACTGCCCCACAGAGTTTTAAAGGTTGTTATCTTTACAGGAACAGATTGCCAGGTCTTTTCTCCCACAGAACAGCTGGTGGGTTTGAACAATTGAGCTTTCAGGTAGCAGCCAAGCACTTAACCATTCCACCACCAGGGTCCCTTATATAAGTATAATCCACTACCGTCGAGTCGTATCTGACTCATAGTGACCCCTCCTTGGGTTTCCGAGATGGTATCACTATGGAAGTAGATTGCCCAACCTTCCTTCTGAAGAGTGGTTGGTGGGTTTGAACCACTGGCCTTCTGGTTAGCAGTCAAATGCCTTAGGTGCTACGCTACCAGAGCTTCTTATATAAGTACAGAAGTATATAAAAGGAGCTCTGGTAGCATAGTACCTAAGGCATTTGACTGCTAACCAGAAGGCTGGTGGTTCAAACCCACTAGCTGCTATATATACATATTCATATATACACAGTGGGATTTTGTCTGGTTCCATTTATATATATTCAAGAGCTGGAGAAATGAATTGAAAATGACATAAGAGTAGTTACCTCCTAGGGACACTGACTAGGAAGAGGCATGAAGGAACTTTCTGAGTGCTAGAAATGCTCTATCTCTTAATCTAGGTATTAGTTATCCATTTGTTTACAAATGTAAAATCCCACTGAGCTGTGCACTTGGCACAAATGTACTTCATTCTGTCTGTTACACCTCAATAAAAAGGTTAAGAAAGTACAATGAAGTGGCCAGGGTTCAGGACCAGAGGCCTGAAGTTAAAGATAAGTACATCACTGAGTAACTAAGTGACCATGGCCAAGTCACTGCACTTGGTTCATGGTGGATGCCATCTGTGCTGCCTTCTTCACAGGTTTTTGGGAGGATCAAATAAGAGCACCAAAATGACTGTACTTTAAAAAATGAAGTGCAGTGCTACACAGGGCCACTGAAAGCCCTGTGTTTACATCAGAAAAAGTTGCCTCCTCTTCTCAAACACCTCACTGCCTTGTGCCAGAAAATGGACATGATATTCAAATCAGCAATGTCAAAGCTGTGAACGGTGCCCTATTAGATGTGGTACTCTTGTGCAGTGTACTCTGTGCACAAGATCACTGCTTGTCTGAGAGGTAGGTGGAGGGGGCTCCGGGGGAAAGATAGAAAAAGAGATAATAGAAGTGCCTAAAGCAGAGTACAGTACCTCATGGGGCTTGTGAGGGGTTCGGGGCCGTGCCCGAAGTGTGGGACCAGGCTCCCTCCCTTCTCGGCTGCCTGGCACAGACCCTTTGGCATTCTTCCGCACCAAGTGCCGCCTCACACCAGGAACATCTTCAAACCGATGACCTGCAGAGCAGGAAAGGGGTCTGGGTTGGGTTCCCTCTTTTTCTCCTACTCTTTTCCCCACCAGTACTGGGCTTTACCCAGGCCCCAGCACTCACTCTTCATGAGGTCTAGGTCAGCCGTGGCCAGCGTCTGGGCCTCACTCTCATCCGTGGGGACACGGGGCAGCAGTGCCTGTTCAGTGCCGGTCATGCTCCCAATGCGCCTCCTTTCCTGAAGGTTGTAGCTGCGATGCCCAGGCTGGGCTTTGGTCAGCGGGCGCCCTGAGGCACCTCCATCATCACCTCCTGCTGTGCCGCTGGTCACTGCCACCACATCTTCCACTAGAGCTCTGGACAGATAAAGCAGCCATCAGCTAGACAAAGCCAGCCTCCTTCCCATTTCCAGGGACCCATGCAGGGGAACCAGGATTGGAAGCACATTGGACCCACCCCTTCCTGATTCTCCCCTCTTGGGCATTGTGCATGTGTAAACAGACTGCCAGGATTTAAATCCTGACTCCACTCTTTACTGGCTGTGCAACTGTGAGCAATCACTCAAGGCATCTCTGAACATAAATTCCTCACCAGGAAAATGGAGCAAAGCCCAGTCTCATGTGGTGCTGTGAGAGGTGAGATTCTGGAAAAGTACCCAGTGCAGAGCCCAGTTTGTCACAGATGCTCCTGGACATTAGTTCCCTTGACATTTCTCTGCTCCTTATGGCCCAGGCATACCCCTAACCAGCAGGACTAGGAGGTCTGCAGGGTCCCATATCTCTAATTAAATGGAATAAAGGACGATGAACTGACCTTTTGTAATTGTAGACACCTTCCATCATGGTAGTAAGAAAGTTATTAACTATTGGTCCCTCACAATGCCATCCTTTCTCCCAGACTAGAATGCCTTCTCTTTCTCACTGACATCCTAAGGGCATAACGGTCTTACTGTATCACTTCTAAACCTCTTTCCCCACTATCTAAAGCTGCTTCAATCTCCAAGCCCAAGTCCCTCTCCCATGACCCCCACTGCCAGGCTTCCTCTGTGCACTCTCACCTTCTGTGCCCTTGTTCCACTGTGCCAGCTCAACAAATGTGACCCACTTTCCAAATGCCATGTTTTTCATTGAAGTCCCCTCCCTACCCCACCCCTAGCTCTGGTCCACAGTTAAGAGTCCACCACGAGCCCAGTTCCACTGCACACCACCGCATCTCCTAGCAGGCCTGTGCACTCTCTGGGGGCTGGTGACATGTCCTTCATTTCCCTGAAGTCCTTTCCACTGCCTGGCACCCAGAAAACAACAGATATGGGATAGGGCTGACTTTGAGATCTAGTTCAAAGTGATTTCCACCAGGAAGCCTTCTCTGGTTAACAACCCCATAATCCCGTCACCACTGGTGCTGCCACTGCCTGAATCAGGTTGTACAACACAAAAACCTGTTCTAGTGCCACTTCACGTGGCTACATTTGGTTTCCAACTAGAGTGACTGGCAACTCTACAAGAACAAGGAATGGATCTCCTGTTCCTCTCAAACCCTTGGGGCCCCAGCGGGTGCTTGGAGGTCACCCAGTCCAATCTCTGATCCAATACTGGATGCTGCTTTATCTGAGTTCCAGTGAGGGGTGTGGGGAGGTGGAGAAGCAGCCTCTGTTCCATGCCAGGCTTAGAACACTTGGAACTTTCATTCACACCACCCCCTTTAATCCTTACTACCACCATGTGAGAAAGTTGTATTGCTCCTGGTTTATAAATGAGCAAACTAGGGCTTTGTGAGGTTAGTTATTTGTACAAATAACCACCACGATGGAAGGTGTCTACATGCTCATGCTTTTCCCCACATCCCCACCCTGACCCTGGGTCAGGAGAGTTCTGCTTGGGGATACTTGCTGACTGAAAGGAGGTACACTTACCCAGTCTGGGCCCCTTTGGTAGCCCAGGGAGCTGTCTCCTGATGGGTTAGTGGTAGAGGGGGAGAGGGACTGGTCCTTTCTGCCTTCCGGTCAGTACTATCATCCTCCTGGAGGAAGAACTAGAGCAGGGACCAAATGTGAGCAGGCTAGGCCAGGGACCCTGCAGACAGCTCCCAGGGGACTTTGCCCCCACTTACCTGTACCAAAGAGGGTGTGGAAGTAGGGGATGGCTGGGTAAGTACCCGGGCCCCCTCAGCCTCACTGGCCTCATCCTCATCTTCCTCACCCTCCTCAATGGTGGGGGTTTCCCCAGTTGGGGAGGCTCCAGGGCGCCGGCGAGGTTTCCGTCCTGGGCCCTGGGGTGTCTTGCGGCGGCGGGTATCCGGAGGTAGGTGGGTAGACAGTGGGTGATGGATGTGGTGGGAGGACTGGCGGTGGTCTGCACAGAGGAAGGGAACTTGGTTGTGGGCAGGCACAACTTCTCTCCCCTTGCTATCCTGGCCTGCAGCCCCGGCCCCTCCCACCTGGACCCTAGCCCCTTCCTTCCCAGGTAGTCAAGCCTGAGCTCCCTTACAGCCCCTCTTACACTCAAAGTCTTCCTCCCCATAGCTGCGGCCTGGCTCCTCTCCTCCTCGAGACCCAGCCTCCTGCAGAATTTCATCAAACCGCTCCACACCCAGAGTGCGGTGAAGTTCATCTTCCTCCTGCTCCAGGAACCCAGGTGTCCCAGGACTTAAGCTCTCTGGCTCTGGCTGTGAGGAAGTAAGAGTAGACAATACACACAGGGACTCACCACAAATCACACCCCAAGCACCACCATGCTCTGTGGTGAGTACCAACTACTCTCATAAGGCTCTAGGCAGGTGTAAAGGACCTGCTGTCGAAGTCTCAGTTTCGGCAGAAGTCCTGTGTGCCCCAGCTCCTCTGCCTCCTGGATGTAGAGTGAGTGAACTGGGTGGGGAAAAAAACTCCCTTTGGCTGGGAGAATAGCTGCTGAGCTCAAAAAGTAACTTCTAAAGGCAGGCTGGCAGAGCTCTGACCTGGACTTCCAAGTCAAAACTGAAACCCAGCCTTTCCTGGGGTGGTGGGAGCTTCTACACTTCACCTTGCTGGTGGAGCTCCCGCTCACCCTTTCACTGCAGAATGCACCCCTTTGTGCCAACCCAGTCTGGCCCCTCGTCCCACCCCTCCCCCCACCCTCACTCCCCCACCTGAGTCATCCTGCGGGAGTGGAGCAGCGGCCAGCAGTGGCTGGGCAGCAACTGCGGTGGTGGTGGTGGTGGTAGCGGTGGCGGTGGCGGCGGCGGCGGCAGCGGCAGCGGCAGCGGCAGCGGCAGCAGCAGCAGCAGCAGCACTTGGGAAAGCTCTGCCCAGCTAGCTGCCTGCTGCCTAGCCCCTGCGGCTTTGGTCCAGCCCCCCACCCACCCCCTGCTGGTGTCGGCTCCAGGCACCGCCAAATATTTGCTCAAGAGCTTCTGGACCTGAAGGGCATCAGGATCTCCAAGGGCGGGGGTATGGAGCCCCCTCCGTGGTGGTGCCGGCTGCTAGAGCCAGGAAGAGCAAGGGGAGGAGGGCTGGGAAGAAGGGCGGGTCTTGGGGAGACACCGAGGTGGGGATAGGAGCAGCTGTGGGGGGTGGTGGCAGGGATATTGGATACAAGAAAGGGGGGGAGTCAGAGGACTTGTTTCTGCTCTCTTTGGGGAGGGTTCCTGCCCGGACCATCTCCGCAGCTCTACTGGGCCCCACCAAGCTCACAGCCCCTTTTTTCCCTTAAGCAGCCCTGAGGGAGCAAGGTGGAGAGGAGCAAGTGCAGATGCTAGCCCTTGGGGCAGGGAAGAGGGGGTCTCGATCCCCTCGCACCTGAGGCCGCAAGAGGAAGTCCATGGCAGGCAGGAGTGAACCTGGGAAGGAGGGGGAGGGGACCTGACAGTGCCCCTTCTCAGTCACGTGCCAGGCCGGGCCAAAGTGACCAATAACGGGCCTGATTGTGGCACCAGGGGTTAATCATTAGATTCCAAGGGAAAGTCGGGCGGGGCCACGTGGGGAGTTGGCCACGTGGGGACCAGGAGGGGCGGGCCTATGTGGCACGTGGAGCGGGGGTGGGGCCCGGCAGCTAAGAGTGCTCTGCCCCGACTCAAAAGCTTTGTTTCTAAGGCAGGTCAGAGAGGGTCGCTGCGTTAAGGACCCAGGGTCCCCAGAGTTCTTCTCCTGCTGAGGTTAAACACAGACCTACAGGAAAAACAGCCTCAACTCTCCCCATTAGGGCTGGAAGTCTCTGACCCCCACCGCTATCCACGCGGGACCAGAGTGTGATGGCAGTGCCCCCTTCTGCCCTACATTAATGCCCGGCTCTATCTACTCCCCTCCACTTCCTCCTCTCCCCCCAATACATGCATGCACCACACCAGCTTCTGGCTCTCGCCTAGAGCCAGTCCCTGTGAACTTGAAACTTGAGGCAGAAGGGACTTGTGGCAGCGGATTAGACATTAGACCGCTAACGTCCAGCCAGGCACCAGAGGGCGGGCGGGTGATACTCACAGTACAGAAAGAGTCTGCGCCCGAGGTGGGGCGCCGGGGGGCGCTGCTCATGGCCAAATCTTAGCCCTTTTCGCTGTCGCTGAGGCTTTCAGGGCAACAGGGCGGCGGCATAACCTGGGCAGGAGACAACCAGTCACCATGGAGAGGGGCCAGGCCTGAGGGCACCCAGCCCTGTGAAAGCCAGGTGGAGGAGACTTCTTCAGTGACCACAAGAGTCTTGTCGCTGCATCAGGACCTTTTACACTATGAAGGGCCTTGGAGTGGCCCTTAGAGGTGGCAAGTGCAAAGAAGAGAATTGTTTATAGGAAGCAAAGAACAAAGAGAGAGGAGGGAGAAGACTGAGGGGAAAGAGCCCCACAAAGGGCCCAAAAGCTAAGCAGGGTGAGGACAGAGGTGGAAGAGGGTGCAAAAAAACCTGAGGCATCAAGGAGTCTAGGCTCAGCATTTGAGAGAGAGAACAGAGGCATCTGGCTGGGAGGGATAAAAAGCAGGGGGGGGGGGGACGAGGAAAGGGCCTGGACAGGAAGAGGAACCAGGGCTAAGGCTATGTATGGTTCGACACTAGGAAGGGGACTGAAATGAGAGGGGGTGATGGGGAGTAAGACACACTGTGCAACAGAGAGGTGGTGAAGAGAAGGCAGCTGCCCAGATAGAAAGGGGAGAAAGAGAGCAAAGGGAGGAACCTGAGAGAGGGGGAGGCCTAGAGCACTGCACCACTCTGCGCTCTGTCCCTTCCCCTGGCTCTGTGTAGGGGAGGTTAGTAGGGGACATGGAGGAGGGGCAGGAACCTAACTAAACTCACTCAGTAGGGGGGAGGAAGGGCCAGACTACAGGCTCAGGCTGGGTAGAGTTTTATACTGGGGGAGGGGCTGTGTGTGTGTGTGTGTGTGTGCGCGCGCGCGCGCGTACACACACGCCCCCACCCCCGTGCTGTCTGAATCCCTCTGCTCTCCTAACCAGGGGAAGGAAAATCTGAAGTCGCAGGGCTGATACCCTCCTGACAATGACTAGGATTTTCTGAGAGGGTCTATGTGTGTGGGGAAGGAGGGGCAGAAGAGGAGCTGCAGTTGGGGAACCCACCCAATCAGTGCAAATCAGAGTAGAGTAAGCTCAGAGGGCTCCTAAAACTCTAGGAAGGTAGAAATACAGTATCCGGAGGGTGCCGGACTTAGGACTACTTTGCAGATGAGAAAGGTCAGTATAGGGTCAAATAATATTGGTCTGGGTTGGGGGTCAGTCCAGGGTGGGGAGCCTGGGGCGACACATTCCTGGCAAGCCTCCAACTCAGCTGACCACTCTTCCTCACTTCCCCCTCAGCAGGCCTTCAGCCAGGGCATGTCTGGTGTGGAGGAGTGGTGCATAGGGCTTGGCCGAGGGGGGAGCAGCACCAGTCTGGGAAGGGTGTAGGGAGTGTCTGTCCAGAGCACCTACAGGTGCCCCGCCCCCACTGTAGGCAGTGCCCTCGGTGTGCTCCTCCATCCCTTCCTCCTTTTACTCCCCCTATCTCCCCCAACCCTCGCCTTTGCAGAACACAAAGCAGCTTCTGTCCAAAACATCGGTGGCGATAATCCGGGGTGGGGGCACATTCCCGGGACCAGCCCTGACCGGCCCGAAGGATTAGCATCTCTACCCTTGCCCAAAGGATTAGCACCCCGACCCCCACTTGGGCATTAACCACACTCCTAAGTGAATTTGCACATTCCACAGCTCTTCGATGTGGTGCAGGCGAGAGGAAAAGAATAAAGTGAACCCTAGATTTCAGGGAGCACTGGCCCCCAACCCAGCACGGATACCCTGCCCAGGAAAACCGGCCCCCAGGAGTCAGATTCAACTCTACAGGCTCATCTTTCCCATCCCCACCCAACTACACACTCTTCTGCCTGACCCCTCGTCCTGACTTGACCTATCACCACCACCCCCACACCCTGCTCCGCCGCCCAACTCGGAGGTCGGGGATGGGGGTGGGGGGGCCTCCTGCAACCCCTAGGCTGGGCGCCCAGAACTGACCTGAAGGATAAAGTATAGGGCCGTCAGGGAGAGGTGTAGGCTGGAGCCTGCCCGAGTCGGGAAGGTCGGCGGAGCCTGAGATACCCCTTCCTGGTGGCAGGGGGCGCGGCACCCTTGTTTTAGGGAACTCTGAACCCCAGAATCCCCCCTTCTGACCCGCACTCTGTTCGGCTTGCCATCCTTATCCCTAAGATCTAGCTCTCCGCACCCCAGTCTCCTCCCTTTCCTTCACTTCCACTCCCTCCCCACCCGAAGTCCCGGGTTCCCCCTTTCCTTTTCCCTCCCTTCCTCCCAACGCAGCCCCGGCCCTCCCCCGCCATCTCCACTTGGCTTACCCGCTAGATCTGGACTTCGTTTTTCCGGGGTCTCAGGGACTTTTCCCCTTCTCCGATACCCTCGCGCGCTCCCGACAACACCCCAGTGCCCACCCCGGGGCGCGCCCCTGCTGTTCGCAACTTCTCTCAACTCAACTTTCCCCCGCGCCCCGGGCAGGCCAGCCCCCTGCGTGCGCGCCCCCCGGCGCACGTGCGCGGCCCCGCAGGGTGGGGGCGGGGAGGGGTAGGCGCGGTGGCGCGCTCGCAAGCACTGCCGGGCACAGCGAGCCTCACGGGCAGGGCGCCCCTCTGCTTCGCAGGGCACTGGGCCCACAGTCGGCCGTTCGGGGATCGCCTCGGGACCCCAGCTCCAGGCTGGCCAGGCTGTCGTCTCTTCAACCGATTATGGCAGCTCTGTGTAGTGCCTAAGGCGCTTGATTGCTAACCAGAAGGCTGGCGGTTCAAACCCACCAGCCACTCCTCGGAAGGCAGATGGGGCAATCTACTTCCATAGTGATACTGCCTCGGAAACCCAAGGAGGGGTCGCTATGAGTCGGGTCCCACTCGAAGGCACATAACAACAACAACAACAACAACAAGCGCAGAAAGGAGCTGGCCTCACACTGGGAATCGCGGGCAGGAAAACCGAAACGCAGGTGGTCAGGAAATTCAGGGCAGAAGAATTGAATGGTAAATTTATCAGATTGAAGACTCTCTTGACCCCCCCGCAAAACCTAACCAACCAACCAATCCCACTGACTCAAGAGCCCTGCCTTTGCCCAAGGGGCGGAGGCGGTGAGAGAGGGGGGTGGCGGCTGGAGGCTGATGCCCGTTACCCAAAGCTAACCCGGGAGAGAGCGCCGTGTTCTGCACTCCTCCCATTCCTGAGATGACCCGGAGCGA